AAATTCTATTTTATGGATTATGATATTACAACTGTCTTAATTTTCCCCCTATGACATTACAACTGTCTTAATTTTCCCCCTATGACATTACAACTGTCTTAATTTTCCCCCCTCCACCCAGCACCCATCCCTCGCTCAGGCAATCCCCACACCATGGTTCATGTCCACGGGTCATGCATATAAATTCTTTGGCTGCTCCATTTCCTATATTGTACTTTACATCTCCATGGCTATTCTGTGCCTACCTACTTGTACTACTTGTACTTCTTAATTCCCTCACTCCCTCACCCATGCCCCCAAACTCCCCTCCAAAAAAATGAGTACAGTGTAAGGACCTTCCGGGACAACTTCAGGTGTGCCAACATTCTCATCATAGGTGTAGCAGAAGGATAAGAGGAGAAAGAAATTGGAAATCTGTTTGACAAAATAATAAAAGAAAACTTCCCTAATTTGGTGAAGGAAATAGACATGTAAATCCAGGAAGTACAGAGGGTCCCAAGCAAGATGGATACAAAGAGACCCACTCCAAGACACATCATAATTCAAATGCCAAAATTAAAGATAAAAAGAGAATTTAAAAGCAGAAGAGAAAAGAAGCTGGTTAGCTACAAGGGAGTTCCCATAAGACTGTCAGCTGATATCTCAAAAGGAATTTCAAAGGCTAGAAGGGATTGGCAAGATATATTCAAAGTCATGAAAAGCAGGGACCTATAGCCAAGATTGCTCTACCCAGCAAAGCTGTAATTTAAAATCAAAGGGCAGATAAAGAGCTTCCCAGAGAAGAAGAAACTAAAGGAGTTCATCATCATCAAACCATTCTTATGTGAAATGTTAAAGGGACTTATTTAAGAAAAAGAAGAAGTTCAAAACTATGAAAAATAAAAAAATGGTAAACACATACCTATCAACAATTGAATTAAAAAGAAACACAACAAACTAAGCAGACAGGAACAGAGACAGAATCATGAATATGGAGAACTTTGAATATTAAAATATTTGAACTCCATGTTTGTCATCTGACTTTTAATTCTGTACATAGTGACTTCTAAATTAAATGAAATATTTATTTTTGTTTTGTTTCTGTGTAAAAAATTTTCATCAAAAATTTATTAATATGCCATTTTATAGTTTCTAGCTTTTGTGTCATGGTTAATAATAACCTTTTTTTCTCTCAGGATTGCAAAAGTACTAATCCATATTTCCTCATATAGTCTTAGGATTTAATTTCTTTGTGATAATCTTTGATTCACCTGGGGTTTGTTATTTCTTTCACACTAAATACTGTATTTCAGGTTCTAACGCCATCATAGGGCCTTTGCATGTTTTTCTTTTCTTTTAAAAATGTATTTTTAATTACAGTTGGCATATAGTATTATATTAGCTTTAGGTGTACAACATAGTGATTTAACATTTACATACCTTATGAAGTGATCATCATAATAAGCCTAGTAACCATCTGTCACCGTACATAGTTATTACGTTATTATTGACTATACCCTCCATGGTACGTGTTATATCTCTGTGACATTTTTCATAGCTGGAAGTTTATGCTTCTTAATTCCCTTCCCCTTTTGTGTCCATTCTCTCACCTTCTTCCCCTCTGGCAAACATCAGTTTGTTCTCTGTATTTATTGAGTTCGTTTCTGTTTCATTTTTTATTTTTTATTTTTTATTTTTTTAGATTCCACCTGGAAGTGAAACCATACAGTATTTGCCTTTCTCTGTGTGACTTGTTTTACTTATCTAAATACTCTGTGGGTTCACCCACATTATCACAAATGGTGAAGTTTCATTCTTTTCATGGCTGAATAATGTCCCATTTTGTGTGTGTACACCAGGTCTTATTTATCTAGTTACCCATCAGTGGATACCTAGGTTGCTTCTGTATCTTGGCTGTGGTAAGCAACGCTGAGACGAACATGGGGTGCATATCTTTTCAAATAATTGTCTTATTTTCTTCAGGTAAATACCCAGAAGTGAAATTCTGGGTTGTACAGAAGTTCTGGTTTTAATTTTTTGAGGAAATACGCTGTTTCCCATAGTGGCTACACTAGTTTACAACCCCACCAGCGGTCCATGGGGGTCCCTTGTCTTCACGTCCTCGCCAGTGCTTGTTGTTTGTTGTCTTTCTGATGATGGCCATTCTGACTGTTCTGAGGTGATATCTCATTATGGTTTGGATTTGCATCACCCTGATTAGTGATGTTGAGCATCTTTTTTGTGTGTCTTTTGGCCATCTGTATGTCTTTTTCAGAGAAATGTCTGTTCAGGCTCTCTGTCCATTTTTTAATCGGATTTTTTTTCAGTTGAGATGTATGAATTCTTTATATAGTACAGATATTAACCTCTGATTAGATATTTCAGTTGTTGTTTTGTCTTGTTGATGGTTTCCTTCACTGTGCAAAAACTTGTTAGCCTGATATAGTCCCATTTGTTTATTTTTGCTGTTTTTGCCTCTGCCTGTAGAGACATAGCCAATAAATATTGCTAAGACTGATGTCAAAGAGTTTACTGCTTGTGTTTCATTCCAGGAGTTTTATGGTTTCAGGTCTTACAGTTAAGTCTTTAATCCATTTTGAGTTTATTTTTGTATATGTGGTAAAAAAGTAATTTTATTTTTTTTCTGCATGTATCTGTTCAGTTTTCCCAACACCATTTATTGAAGAGACTGTCTTCTCCTTTGTGTGTTCTTACCTCCTCTTTTTCATAAAGGTTTAGTTTTTATTTTTAGACAGAGGGAAAAAGAGGAAGAGAAACATTAATGTTTGGTTGCCCCTTAATGCTCCCTACTGGGGACCTGGCCCGCAACCCAAGCATGTGCTCCAGACTGGGAATTGAACATGTGACCCTTTGGTTTGCAGGGTGGCGCTCAGTCCACTGAGCCACACCAGCCAGGGTGCTTGCCTCCTTTTAAGTAGATTAATTGACAATATAAGTAAGTGTGAGTTTATTTTCGGGCTGTTCTGCATGTCTGTTTTTGTGCCAGTACCCTACTGTTTTGATTACTATAGCTTCATAGAAGAATTTGAAATCAGGGATTGTGATTTCTCCAACTTTGTTCTTTTTCAAGACTGCTGTGGCTATTCAGGGTCTTCTATAATTCTATATACATTTTAGGATTATTTCCTCTAGTTCTGAAAAAAAATGCCATTGATATTTTAATAAGGAATTTCATTGAATCTGTAAATTGCTTTGGGTAGTATGGTATTTTAATGATACTAATTCTTCCAATCCTTGAGTATATTATATACTTTCATTTATTTGTGTTTTCTTCAATTTGTTTTATCAATGTATTATAATTTTCAGAGTATAGGTCTTTTACTTCCTTCATTAAGTTTATCCCTAGGTATTCTATTCTTTTTGATGCAGCTGTAAATGGGATTGTTTTCTTAATTTCTTCGATAGTTTGGGATTCATTTTTGAATAAGGAGAAAGATAAGCCAGTTTTATTCTTACCTAAATTGCTAGCCAGTTGTCAGATTCATGAATACCCAGTCTTTTACTACCAATTTAAAATGACTCATCTTACATTAAATTTCCTTATGTATTTGAATCTATTTCTGGGATCTGTTCTGTTGATCTGTTTACTTTTGAATAATTGTTATTGAGATTTTATTTCTGTGGTTTTATACTATTTATAGGATAAGTATTCCTTTATTTTTATTCTATTTTATTCATTTCTTTTAATTATTTGTAATTAGATTTTATTTTTGAATTCCATTTGACAAACTATGTTATATTAGTTTCAGGCGTACACCCCCAAAATTAGACATTACACACCTTGCTGAGTGATCGTTTTGCTAAATCTTGTACCCATCTGATGCACAGGCAGTTATTAAGAATATTATTGGCTGTATGCCCTATGTTGTACTTTACATCCCCATGACTATTGAGTATTTCCACATTTTAATTCATTTTCAGGTTTTCTGTCTATTTTTTCATATTTACTTAATGAACTTAAAAATCATTTGGTCAAAGTAACAAAAGCCTTGCTAGGTTTTTCAACTGGAGTTGTACAATATTTTTAGATTAATTGAGGGAAAATTGGCACTTCTTTAATGTAGATTTCCTTATTTAAAAAATAAATCCCCCCGCCCATGGATTTAAGCATTCTCTTAGTTATCTTGGTAGCATTTTATGTTTGGTTATATAGGCCTTGGCCATTTTGGTAGATTTTTCCATATATTTTAATTTTAACTTTATTTTTCTGAATGGAATTGTTTCCTCCTATAATATTTTGCAACCATTATCTTATTTTAAAAAATATTGACTTTTGTTTATTTCTTTTATTTCCAGACACTTTAATGCACTTGCTTTTTTTCCTAATCATTTTTGGTTGATTTTAGCTTTCAAAAGTCTAAGGAACGGACCCAGGAAACAAGTGGAGTAAATGTAATCTCCTCACTGTGGGACACAACTTGAGAACATTAGAGAGGGGGGTGTGCAATAGGAGAGTTTATGGAATGTAATTTGTTCATTCAGGAAGGACCAAATATGGGTCAATGTCACCACATCACCGACACATAGTATGTCAGGCTAAGTATATTAGGATGAATAAGCATGCCACTCATATGAGATCATTTAATATTCTTAGATGTCCTTGGTACTCAGTTAAACTCTCAGGATTCATCTCTGTGAATTCTGTATCATTTATGTGCTCTGCAGAAAGGCTTAATTTAATTAAGTCCCATGATATTGGTTCCTGTTTGGGTAAGGAAAATGTGAAGGATGGAAGGGAAAACTGAACTGTCTTCTTCAAGAATAGGAGTTTATCAGGTTGTGAATTACACGCTTGCTAATTTTTTTATATAACCTCGCAAATGAAATGTGACTTCTTGTCTTGTTGTGAGTAATCCTACTTCCTCCTTCCACAAGTACCTGTTGCTCTAACTACCCACCATCCCAACCCCCTAGGTGGTAGATGGTCTCGGCTGACAGTGCCATCTGGTGGCTACCCGGGGAACTGTGTGAACTAATCACTCTTCCTCTTGAACCTGCAGTCTGGGTTGGGATCCTGGAAGCCAGATCCAGACTTGGAAACAACAGTTGGTGCCTGAAGCAACAGGCAAAGAGAAAAGGTAAAGTCCAAGTCCTGGCAAAGGTTGCCTGTGGGAGCTGGGAGCAAGGAAGGAGCCAGAAGGGCTTTGTCCACAGGAATTGATAGGCAGCGAGGACTAGGCCCAACAAGAGAGGTCTGCAAAGGAATTCCGACTGGAGAGAGAACTTCTGAACCCCAGCAAAAAAAGGGAAACTCAGGGAACCTTTTTTCCTCCCTTCATGGACTTGCGTTCAGTCTTGGGGCAGGGATCAGCTTGATTGTGGGTTTCCAGTCAGTTTGCACACCTTTCTCCAGGGGTTTCCTTGATTACTTAAAAAAAATTCTTAATTTCCCCCCATTGCTTAAAAGTCTGCTAATTTCAGGTAATTCCACATAAGGCAAAGTTTACTTCACATTTCCCTTCTCTTGCTCTCTTTTCCCCTCTTCCTCTCTCCTTGTGTCTTTTCTCATCTTTTCCAGCTCTTATTCTTGCACTTTAGGAAAACCTTCCTCTTTTCCTACATTCTATTTGGGAGTCAAACATAATCCTAGTACAGCTGATAAACCTACGGATAATGCTTGTGGGCCAGCTTTCTCAAGGCGAAGGGAAGGCAGATGTTGTGAAATGAAGAACGGGTGCTACTGACACTTGGGTCCTTGGAAGGGATCTAGGACGTCAGCAGCGTCCCCGCCTGGCTCAGTCCTCCTGCCCGACCCCTGCGTGATTTCCCCTGTGCCACGTAGATCTTTGTGGGATGTATTCTCTGCCGTATCCCCAGCACTTAAAATAGCACCTGGCATATAGAAGGAGCTCTATTAATATTTGTTAATGAAATAGATGAATATTCTCGATGAATAAGCACATCTGACTTATTTCTTTTTTTTGTATTTTTATTTTGCCTTGTAAGTATTGCAATGATGCTCATTTTCATCATGAGGGAATGACTTTTGACTTTTGTAGGATAATTTAAGCTTATATAACATGAGAGGATATTTCTAGCACAAAAATTATTATTTAAAAAATTTCAACCTACCAACTGTGACAGACTTTCTGAAAATAACCTGTTGGTAAGTTGGGGACTCTCTGTACCTTTCCTTTTCGTGTTTAAAGAGTGTATATTTTATACACAAATGAAGTAGGAAAAAAATCCGTGACAAAATGACCAGTTTTTACCTGTCTTGGCTTCTCAAGTGCTCTTTGCATCCTCCCCAAAATAGAAGCCAAGACTGTTAAATATAGAGGAGAAAACAAGTTCAGAAAGCTGAAAATGATTAAGCATTTGGCAAATGTCTTACTGTCTGTGTTTTCTGTTTGCTGTCTCTCTTTTGCATTACAAATCCTTGATAACAGATACAGAGCAACACTTATTCTCTGTGTAGCAGTAATCACAGAAGAAATGTTGGGTTTACCTAATATTTTCAGAATTGTGCTCATGCTTGTGAGCCTTCTCAGGACAGGAGAGACAGGGAGGCAGGCTGTCCTTATTTTACAGATTGTTCCTCTGACATCACTCCGATGTCAGAATTTTTGGGGGGTAAAAAATGATCACTTGCTACTTCCCATTCCAAACCCTCAGGATTTTATAAATGTCTCACAAGTCTCTGTAATCTTAAGGAAGTTCTTTCGCTACAGTACAAAGGAGCAGTTAAAATTAATTTAAAGCTATACTGTGATAAGGCAGCTGTGCAGTGGGTGCACCGTGCCAGAGGGTGCTAGACCTTGGTTCGTTCGTGAGGATGTGTCACAGCAATCCTGCCTCGGGCTTGACGTCTGTTCCTGGCTGATTTTACTGACAGTGGTCATAGCGGGAGGGCAGATGTTTGGTCTTTAGCTCATTGACTACTTAGAATACAAGAAGCTTCACAGTGTGAAAAGAGCATGGAGTAGCATCATAGGCACAGCACTCTCAGACTGAACCCTGGCAGTGCCTCCAGCTAATTGTGTGACCTGGAATAAAATAGTGAACATCCCACAGTCCTACCTTTTTTGAAAATGGGAATGATGGTCCCTTACCTAGAGGGGCTGTTGTGCTACTAGGTATAAAGCCTAGCACCTGGCTAGTGGTGCTTCCTCGTGAGTGAGTTGTGATCACTGCAGTCACATGTTCTCTTTCCATTTCTTTGCTAGGTACCTGGGGATCACGAGGCCACTAACGTACCCTGTCAGGCAGAATGGGAAATGCATGGCGAAGATGATTCTGTCCGTCTGGCTTCTTTCTGCTTCCATCACTTTACCCCCACTCTTTGGGTGGGCCCAGAATGTAAACGATGACAAGGTGTGCCTGATCAGCCAGGATTTTGGCTACACGATCTACTCCACCGCAGTGGCGTTTTACATCCCCATGTCCGTCATGCTTTTCATGTACTATCAGATTTACAAGGCCGCCAGGAAGAGCGCCGCCAAACACAAGTTCCCCGGCTTCCCGCGCCTGCACCAGCCAGACAGCACCATCTCCCTGAACGGCATGGTGAAGCTCCAGAAGGAGGTAGAGGAGTGTGCCAACCTTTCGAGACTCCTGAAACACGAAAGGAAAAACATCTCCATCTTTAAGAGGGAACAGAAAGCAGCCACCACCTTGGGGATCATCGTCGGGGCGTTCACTGTGTGCTGGCTGCCGTTTTTCCTCCTCTCGACAGCCAGACCCTTCATCTGCGGCACAGCCTGCAGCTGCATCCCGCTGTGGGTGGAGAGGACATTTCTGTGGCTGGGCTATGCAAACTCTCTCATTAACCCTTTTATATATGCCTTCTTCAACCGGGACCTGAGGACCACCTACCGCAGCCTGCTCCAGTGCCAGTACCGGAATATCAACCGGAAGCTCTCGGCTGCAGGCATGCACGAGGCCCTGAAGCTGGCTGAGAGGCCTGAGAGGTCCGAGTTTGTGCTGTAAGGTCATTTATCACTATTTTCCTTTCACGGCCCCCCCCCCCCCCCACAACCCATTTGTGCAGCTTCTTAAAGTGTATCTCAGAAAGCTTCCTGAATCGGTAGCTGGCTTGTTTTCTACTAAGCACATCAGATTTGAATTCAGAATTCCATAAATTCCAGTCCTCTACCCAACAGAATTCTGAAAGCCAAAGATAGGTACTTGATTGGAAGACAAGGTTGATTTGCTGCTGAACTGCCTTTGATATGCTTGATGATGAGCAAGGTGATGTTTTTCTTCCTTTCTCCACTAATAATGGCCAAACTGTGTCCTTATATCTTCAAGAATTATAACATTATCAGTTTCATTACTCTTACTCTTAGACCCAGTAAGACTTTTTTTGATGACCTCATCCTTTACTGATAAGTAAAGGAAGCAGAGTCACACAGACTAACGGCTAGGAAGTGTTTAGGAAGTGCTGCCGTCTCCTTAGGAGTTGAGAACTGATGGAGGATTAGTGAGTTTGTCTAGGAGGCATTATGACTTCCCAGGAGGCAATTGCCTAGGGTGTGGGGATCTGAAAAAGGATTGCAAAGAGCCAGTGGTGATAAGGAAACTGAACTTTCCTGTGTAACCCGAATGTTAATGAACCTGTCATTGTAAAGAAAGAAGGTGGGAGGCAGTACTGTAATTAGAGTTGTCAGCAGGTCAAGTGGAGATTTGTCTATAAATCTGGGGTGGAGGAGACATCTTCATGTTTGAAAGTTGAGAGGAAAGACACTGGAATCGGAAGATTAACAGTGTTGGTGAAGGAGAGAGAGAGGATTAGTGCGGATCCTCAGAGAGAAGAAGGCATTGTTCCTCACTGTACTTGGCAGGAAGGAATAGATCAGAGAACTGTGGACCACTGACAGGGTCCTTCCCAGTCATCTTGGCCACGCCCTTCATTTGACAGAAGTGGCTTAGATCTGGAGAGTAAGATGTGGCTAAAATAACCCGCACACTCCACACTCTGTACATTTGCATTCAAGTAAACACCAGGTGGACAACCCAAACAACTAATAACAACTGGAGTCTCCAGAAGAATGATGTGGTGTCCAGTCCACAGCTCACAGCAAAACTTGTTAGAAGCCTTTGTCTCCCTCCCCTTCTCTCTATGGCTCAAACTCATGTGGCCAGCTGGGGACTCAGGGCTCCTCCCACTAATCTCTTCAGCCCGTTTCTCCCCCTCCTCCTGGACTGCTTTCCCCCCAGCTCCACCTTTTTGGCTGTATTTCTTTCTCTTATGTAATCCTTTGTTTCCTGTGTAAACAGTCTATGTATTGCTACTTTCAACTATTTACCCATTTATTTGCATTTTCTTGATCAGCATAACAAGAGGCTTGGGAGTCTGGCACTCTCCTCTAGTATTTTAATGTGCTATTCTGTAATTTTGTGCCCTTTTCACAAGTATTCAAATAATGATCACATAAAACCAAGGAGGGATATAAGGAGGGATTTTTTCCTTTCAATTTGTCAACTTTATGGATTTTTCTGCATTGCTTTAAATTGCTTTTTAAGCATCATGTTCTGATGGCTTTTGTTCTTTGGCACCATTATTGTGAAAATATGGAAATGCAGTTTCTAAAGTACTTCCATATAAAAGAATTTCATGAGATTGTTTTCCAGCAGCTCTTCTTCCCCCTCTCCCTTCCTCTGCTTGGTAATGGACTTGCTCTTCAGACTCAGGCTCCCTGTCGACTGCAGTGGTTAGTCACGGAGGAGTAGCCTTGGGTTCCTGTCGCGAATGGCCAGTGTGCTTCTTCAGAGTCTGTGCTATAGCTTTGGACTTCAGGGTGATTCTGCCTCTTCTTTATGGAAACCCGTGATTAGAGAAGGCAACCAAAACGGGCCCAGTAGGAACTGGGAAGAAGCATTGAGTGCCCTGAAGCCCTGGGTATCTGTGGAGGGACGCTGCTTTACTGACAGAAAAAACAAAAAGTTTGCTATTTCCTGGATTTTTCACCATTGTAGTATTTTCCTCACTATTAACCAGCTGGAATTCAACACTTTATTTTTATGCAATCATTGATTAGTAATAATAATAGCTTATTTGCTTCATGCTTTGCATCATCTCTTTAAGGTAGAAAACACAGTAGGAAAGACTCTCTTTTGCTTTTCCTAAAAAATTTTTTTTGTAGATAGTAAATACACATTGCACAAAGTAAAGTCAGGCAGTCGGATGTGTATAGAAGAAGCATAAGCCTTGGGGGGATGTTTTAGCAAGAAAATAGCCATGGTGACATTTATGAAGAGGATGATCTGGGTGGGCTTTGAATAGAGAGTAGCATTTTAACAGGAAAGGATGGTAGGGGTGGAGGTGGGGTTGGGGCTACTCGAAGCAGAGAAGAGAGTTTGGACAGAGGCAAGCACACAGGTGTGGATGGGACATGTCTTCAGCAGTACCTGGAGCTGGGTAGATTGGGGTCAGCAAGGAGAGCCAGGTGGGCAGGACGGGTAGGGGACTGTGGGTCCGAGCTGAAGTGTGGCCCCAGTCTTGTCCTTAGATGCCATTGTGTGTAGCAGGGGACAAAGTGAGAGATGGTGTCCTGTGGAGAAATTGATCCTATCACTGGGAAAAACCCATTTGTCTGGAGTCTTGGCAGCCAAGTGAGAGGGGCACTTCCAGTGTGATGGGGAGGCAGAGGCTGGGGGTGCAGTGCCTGACCCTGGAACCTCATAGACCTAGCTCTCAAGAACAGCTTGGTAAGGCAAGTTTTGTGAAGGCACAGAGTCAGGGGAGTGGGGATCTAAAGGGACAGTGGTTCTATACCAACGAGAAAGACTTTTCCTCAGCCCTTGGCCAAGACTTGTCCATGACCCACGCCGCCTCTGTGAAGAAAGGAGGGAAACGAGGGAGGTGGGGTCTCCTGGTCTCTGTGCACATGGCTGACTGTAATGCACCCTCCGAGGTCTGAAGGGGAGAACACTTCTCGTTAGTGGTGATCATTATTCTTTTCAAGTGGGGCAAGTGCAGCAGTGTTTTGCAGGGATTTTTGAGAGTAGCACCATTTTTGGCTGCGGATGTATTATAAAAGTGAATTTCTAAATGGGTTACCTGGGGCTGATTTGCAAATAAATGAAGGCCCTGACAACTTACAACAGTTATGAAATGTATTAAAGGAGCCACAGCACTTTTTCTTTTCCTTCAGAGATGCTCGTAACCCCTCAGAAGCCACAAATGCTTCAAATTACTGAATGCTGTAAAAATTAAATCCACCCACCACAAAAGAGAAACATTTATGGTTCCGCTAAATCATTTTCACGTCTTCTCTCTCTTTCTCTCTCTCTTTCTTTATAGACAAAACTCTGACTACCGTAGGAAAAAAAGTCATGATTCATGATCAAAAGTGGAATCAAGGAGACGAGAAAAACGAGACAAGACAGAGGTGGAAACAGAACGGAATCATTTACTGAGACTGTGGAATGCGGCTTCCGTTTTTTCTTGGGATGGTTCAGAGTGACAAGCAGGGTGATCTGTTGTACAACTGTGTTATGAGGGAGACAGTGACCTCCCCTTCTTTTCCCCCTGTGGGTCAGTGCTACTGTGTGCAAATCAAGGTAGTACTCAGTTGAAGATAGTCAGACCCGCTCAGCAGTAAGCTGGCGAACAGAGCTGAGTTCCAGAATGGTTTCTGATGCTTTGTGTTTGACCAAGACCACGCAAGTGGAAGTGAGTTCCATTGTGCACTAGTCTAGGCATCCTGGTGAATGTTCAGGAATCGTTCATGAGACAGAATTAATGGTGTGGTAGGACAGAAGGGTGTTTTCCCAAGCCAACTGTGGTAAGCATAGTGTTGACTATGTTGCATGTCCCGTGTTAGAAAACAGAATCCCGTCATCAGCTCACACAAATGACTTCCCAGAGCAGTGTCTGTTCTAAGCTCCTGTCAAACAGTTTGGCTTTGTGCAGGGTCCCTGTGACCTCCCCACCAATGTACTTTCTTTGTTAACTCAGTTCTTGTTATGGTATAACTCAGGAACAGCTCTCAGGATGGAGAAAATCCTAAAACCTGAATAAAGCCTTTTCTTGTGCTCACACTTCTTCCGAGGGGTCCTGAGAGATGAGTGGGGTTCCTTCCATGAGGACTTTTTCACCTAACCACACTGTTCGTTAACGTGGGGGTTGGCACTGAACTTTTGACTCTCATTACACACGGGTGCATTGGGCCCGCAGGCTGGTCCCTGACTGTGGTTTTGGGAGGAAGTAGGGGAATAACAAGGTTTCCATGAAAGGTTGTGATACTTCTGGAAATGGAGCATCCATATGTGAATTCCCATTGAGCGTCGTTGTGTTAAACTGAATGATACGAATTGGAGGTCACCTGGGATGCTCACTGCCGGTAAACGCTTGAGAATACCATTCTGTTCCTTCTAGAGGATTCGTTTTTTGTGTTCTCTGTATCTTAGATCAAATGTGTGCCTGGCCAGTTCTGTTCTCCTGCGCGCTCCCTCCCTAAGGTGATAGTCATTAAGGGCAGACAAGGAAACAGGAAAGGTCCTTTCGAGGATAGTATTTTTTTAATGGAATTATAAAATATTATGAGCTAAGGAGACAGAAAGACAGTATAACGGAAGAATACCTCTAAGGGGATAAAGTGAATGTAGACCTTCCTTTGATAAAAGAGAACTGCAAGAGAATATTATTTTCCTACCACAAATGTAGCTGTTTCCTCGGAGGATAATGTGGAATTCCAACGTGGATTATGGATTTCTCCCAACTTCCATTGACATTGCTTCTTACCAGACATGGGGCGGGATCTGCCTTTCCCAGAGGGGGGGTGGGGCCCTGCCCTTTCAGACCCGGGCTGTACAAATTCCTGAACCGCAGATTTGCTAAAGTGACTGTAAATACTTATATTCATAATTTAAATGATTAATTCTGGTCAGATAAATGTTAAATTTGAAAATGTTTTATTACATTCCATCAAATAAAGTTTATTTGTAGCTGTAATAAAACAACTTAAGTCATGATTTTTAATCGAAGGTCTGACATCATAAATGTTGCTCTCCGTTGAGTAGTGGGTGGGCAAGCTTACTGTGTTCGCTAAGTCCAAACAGGTAGTTAAGGCAGTTCTGTAATTAATTGCATTTCACTGTGAGGATTCGTCCATTTGGTAAGTTGTTGTTGTTTTTTAATGAGTGTTCCTTTCCTGATTCGATTCATGAGTGTTTATTGGGCTTTGGAACCTTCAGCCCTGTGGACACAAAGGGGCAGCGATGAGCAAAGCAAGTTCTCACCCTGAGGGAGTTTACCTGCAGGTAGCAGGTGGGCATTTCTCAGCTTTGTCACCTACAGGTGACATGTCACCCTGTAGGTGACACCTACAGGGCCATCGCCGTTTGCAGAGAGTGACATGTTTGTTCTTCCCGTCCATAAGACAACATTGTGGATAATTGGATGGATTTAGGTTTTCAAATGTGTTTGCCTAACATTTTTATTAGGGCCTGAATTATTAAAAATGGGTCTCTATCTGCCGGACTCGAACACCAGATCACTGAGCTCCCTGTTGGTGAGGCCTGGGCGCTGTGCACTGTACTCACTCACTCACATGGGCGGCCGGGAGGGGGGAGCTGAGACACTGAGAACATGCCAAGCCGTTTATACTGTTTCACATGCAGCATAGTGTTTGTCTTAACTAAGAATCGGGGAAAGTCACTGAAATAAACATTTTACCTATAGTTTGTGACTGTTCCGGAAGCCTAATTGCTATGACTAATCTCTCTCAGTCCTGGGTGTCAGCTGACGGCCTCTGCAAAGGCTGAGCGTTGGGAAACTGCCTCGTAGTCGGGAAGTGCTTGTAAGGGAACCTAACGCTGCTGCCTGACTGTTCTGTTTTATTTCACAGGTATTAAACGGGAGGCACTTACAGAATTCCTAGGTTTTCCAGAAACTTTCATAATTCTTAAAGAATTTACAAGGGTGTCATGTGCTTCAGTGGCTTGTATATGTCTCTGGTGATTATATTTTCATGAAATTTTATTACATTCATTCATTGCCGGTGTGAGATCAACAGTGAGAATAGAGAATTCAGTCAATTTTTCAAATAGTTTATGTGAATATAATAATTGTCTGAATTGCCGTCTGTAGATGGAGGAATGAATTTTCCTTTCAGCGCTTTGATTGTCAAGAGACTTCTCACTTTAACACGTATGAGTGCTTGCAAATCCTGCGTTTTTAAACAGTCCATGCCGTTTCTTGTCTCAGGCCTTTCACACATGCTTTGCCTTTCTGTCTGGAATGTTCTTTCCAGTGCCAGTTAGTTATTTAGTGTTTGCTTTCATCACTGTTCAGTCATCCTTCAGGGGCAGGGACCACATCTGCTTTTCTTGCTTTCCAAGCACCTAGCACCAAGCTTGGAACGTACAAAGTAGGAACATAATAACTATTTTTTAGTAGGAGAGAAGGAGGACAAAACGTCAGGGAAAGAAGGAGGAAGGCCAGAGTTGACTTGGCGTCCTTTTAAATTTTCAGATGAGGAGAGTGAGGAGCCTTCGGAGTGATCCAGGGACGCATGCGGTGAGTGGGCGAGAAGGAGCTGGGATTAAGCCCTTGGGCATGCACCCTGGGGCAGGCCCTGCGCTCCGTGGTGCCGCTTCTTTTGCATGAGTTTCTCGTATCGAGAGAGCGACCTTTTCTTAATTTTCTGCACTAGTGGAGCAGAGCTGTATATGTATGTGTTATGGCCCATATGTTGAGACTTGTTTATCTACAGCTAGCCAGATGGTCCCTAGCAGCAGACCAAAAAAAGCCATTTGGAAACTTTCAGAGGGTCAGCGCGTTTTGAAAGCCCTGGGAGTAATCCTTGTTGTGATGTCATTCCTTACTCACTGTAAGCAGCGTTGGTCAGAAAAGGGAGACCTCGTTACACACTCCCCGTGCAACAGTTGAACCTCAGGCGCCAACTCGGAGTTCCCAGACAGAAGCTTATTTAATTGGATCTTTTTTTAAACTTGCTTGTCTATACTTTCTCTGGAGAAGGAAAGTAATTCCTTAACTTAAACTACTTTGCTCTTCAAGCTCCTGCTGGCTAAATTAAAATGAAAGAAGAACCCTGCTTAGGCAGTACAGGCAACAGAGACACATGTGATCACCCACGAAAATGGAAAAGCCAAACTTACTGTGTCTCACTGCAGCAGAACATGAGAGAGGTTGGCAGCATCGGACACAGACTTGCACATAAAAGTTACGTTGGGCAGTTGGCATTTTTTTTTAAGCTGAGTTGGAGAAATTAAAACATGTTGTGACTGTGGTGCTCTGGAAAGACACACATGAAGTCCTAGATTCTATTCAAACTGTAGAACTTATGCTCAGAGATTATGGACCAAGAGGAAGGTAATGGAACAAGAAATACTTAAGATACTCTAAAGAAATGAAAGCCTAACTCATGATTCTTCCTCTAAGAATTTCATCGATTCATCCATTCGGTCATTCAAACAAATATCTTTTATACGGGGTATGGCACAAATAACACCCCCTGTTTTAATCACAAAATCTTTTATTACAAAATTATAAGCATGTAATTCCATAACATAACAATATCACACTCAAGTGCACCATATGACATTTTAGGTGAAATGTTCAAATTAAAGCTATGAATTTTTACACCAATATTATTATCCTACAACCACACTCAAGCAGGCCTTCCTGCTGCTGGGCTCTGTGTATCAGACTATAAAACACTAGAACCCAGTGGCAAGGCAGAAACCACCCCCATTCTTGTAAAGCTGAAAGTCTAGCAAGGAATCTAAACATTATACAAATGATTATAATAAAATACAATGTGTATTACGCTAAGGCAAATGCAAGGAGGTTCAGAGAGAAATGTACACTTAGCATATTGATATAAATTTATAAATCTCAGTGGAGGAGAGAATGACAATCCAAAATAGCAGATGGAAAGAAATATCTAGAGTTTAATCTTTGATGTGTATTATGTAATACTTTGGTGCCAAATTACCTTTCTTAATTACAGTTTGATTAGGCTGTTATTAAAATGCTCTTTATTCTTCAAAGCCACACAGCCTCACAGTGGGAGACATGGTGCAGAGCTGCAGCAAGAGGCAGCACAATAGCAGCTGTGAATGTAAAATCTTGTCCTGGAGAACTCACAAAGTGAACGACACACCTGGGAAAGGGTGAGCTGCAACTGTGCCCGCGGAGAATCACAGAGCAAGAGGAGCTTCTGGCTGATCTGGTGCAGCCCCCGATTGTCGAGCAGGTGGAAAGATGTTAAGTTAGAGTTGCGTTTTGTTTACATGTGTTTAAAGGACTGTGGTGTCGAGCCGTGCTTTGCTAGCTATTTTTGGTGGAGAACTTTAAAATGCAGAGCTATGTATTTGAAAAATAAATTACAGGAAAAATTGAAAAACATACAAAACAGAAGCCAAATGTTTTTCTTTTTTTAGGTCTAATAGACATAAAATTACATTTAGATAAATATAGTCAGAAGAAATATGACACGTAGGAGAAGGAAAGAAACAAAAACTGACCATTGTCTAACAGAAGTGTGCTGTTAATTAGGGAAAACCTAGCAGTCCCCGCACTGAGAAGTGGCTGTGGCACAACCATCACAAACGCAGAACACTAATGTGTGAGGCTCTTCCACGGTGTGCTGTGACGAGCAGGACACGGTGGCAGGGGGTGGAGTGAAGAGGGAGGGTGAGGACAGTGAGGCAGAGCTTGTCTCCGAGAACTACACCTGGAGTGGAAATGGTGCAGAGACGTGCGGACCTCCAGTCATGGCCCGGAGCCTTTAAACAACCGAACGTGCCCCCCTGCATTTCTGCTCTTCAGTGATCTATAGTTAAATTGAATCCAGAAGCTGACCTGAAGGCACTGAAAGGTGTTCCACTTTTAGAATGATTTTATTAACTCAGTTGTTCTTAAGGCAGTGAGGCTAAACGCTGACAAAGCGTCAGAGTTTGAAGGCAAAACAGGTTGTGACATTCTATCAAGTAACCAACCTCACCACCTTAGTCTTAAACCCAGGGTTCTCTGAACCTCACTCTGAATAAGAATTTTCTAGGGAACTTGTT